GCGGGCCCCAGGGCCCCGGCCCGCGGCTGCCCCCGTCCCAGCCCCGGGAGGGAACCCGGGAGCAGCGGGAGCACAGGAGGGGAGCGCAGAGCCCCCTGTTCCTGGGGACCGGTGTGACTCCGGGCAGGGCCAACGTCTGCAGAGCTGGGGGGGGCGGTGAGCAGGAAAGAGCAACCACCGTGCGCCTCTGCCCCTACCCAGCCCCTTCCCCGCCTGCCAGCCAGACCCAGGGAGGGAGACCCACGGGCTGGTGGGGACGGCAGGTACACAGACCTGCCCCCGCGCCGTCCTCCCAGCTCTCCGGTGTTGCCTAAGCTATAGAAACCGAAGTTTAGAGCAATGTGGCTTTGATCTAAGTTTAACAACATCTCATGTTTTCAAGCTTCCCAGCACTGAAAAGCTCTCCCAGCCTGCTTTAACACTTCAGACACCAACACACACCAGTGGGGCTCTCCCCCAGGTAGCACTCCAGCGGGCCAGAAGCTTTACCAGTAGAGTCATCGCTCTGCCCATCAGTAACAGACCTGAACAGCCAGAGGAAAAGAGCTTAGCATCATGTCCAGGCTGCACACGCTGCTTTAGGAGACACTCAACACTGCTTACACTCACTAAAAATACAACCTTTGCAGCTGCCATTTAGGTGTTTGTTGCCACCTCCCTCCCTGACAGAGTTACACAGGGTAGCAACCAGCTTTGGTATGTAAAACCTTTAAGTGCCAAGGAAAGTTTAAACAGAGCATGTGAGCATTAACCAGCAGCTCCACTTGTACCTGCCAGCATTGCTTCCAAAAACCAGCCTGGGAGATATGTGTGGAGGGGAAAATACAAACTCTAATTTCAGCATTAGAAACCACCTCGCCCCGGCATTACTGTATGCAGGAGGAATCTTTGATTTGCTGCTAAGTGGTTTTCTGCTCCATTCCTATCTGCTGTCAGTACCCCAGCTGCAGGAGATCCAGAAATGTCTCTGCAAGGGCTCATGAGCTGCCCGTACCCCACACAGCCGTGCTGAGGCACACCTGGGCACCTCCTGGCACAGTGGGCTTTGTGATGTTGTTTTAATCTGCATTTCTTTGTTATGGCACAGCATTAAATACTTATGAAAAGCCTGCGGGGCTGTGCTTCCCCATCAGGGGTTCAGATTGCTGCACGTTTGAGCTGGCAGAGGGGCACCTCTCATCTTCTGCATCTCAGAAGAGGAGCCTGGCCCTGTAAAGAGTATTTGGAGTTTTGCTGACTGACAAAGATGTCCTCATGCTTTAGATATGGAATTGCATTGCTTTAATGAGCTGCGATTCTTGCCCTAGGAATTGTTAGCTTTCAAACCCAAGCAAAAGGTCCCATGTTCCTCATGCTCTTTCAATGGTGGTCTAACACTGAGACACACGGATCTTTATTTTGACTTTGTGATTTCTTTGGGAGTGACAGATGCACCTGCAAGGAAAGCTCTCCTGGCTCTCACGAGGAGTTTCATTTAAGCAGGTTTCTCCAGTGAAACACACCCTCTTCCTATTTTCATAGAACTGTCTTTTCTCTCCAAATGCCATAATTTCATAAGTAAAGTCACTTTTGTTCCTCTGCAGTGCCTCCCCTTGCTCACATACATTTTGTTGTGAGAATGCCATGTTCTCGAGGTCCACCACAGGGCCAGGGGGTTTGGTGTGAGTCTCCAGCACTCATATGTCTGCATGAAAACAAACAAGTGCCTGAAGACCGTAATGTCTGAGGTGAGGGCAAGGACGAGGGAGCTTTTTCCTGCTGCCTTCACTATCTGCGTGTGCTTCAACATCTTCACATGTATACGGAAAGTGGTGGGGAAGGTTGTGTGAAGAGATCAGAGGATGGCCATGGACATTTATTGTTCCTCACATACCTTTCCTACAGGGGGAAAAGAAAGATACCTGGGAGAAAGCAGAAATCCCAGGAAGCAAAGAGCCAATGCCATCATTTCAAGCAGAAGAAGTGATGCTTAAGGAAGCCAGTGAAGCTGGATAAGCCTTGAACTCTGGGCAAATATAGCTATTAATCTTTAATCCTTAAGTCTTACAGGTGCACCAAATCCCAAATCTGATAGGGAAATCACAGTTTTGCTGCAGGTCACACACATGTATCTGTGTACCTGCAGACAGATGTGCTTAATTATTAATCAGCATTTATAGCAGACTCGCCTTGGCTGGACGCGTGTTTAAAGACTCGCCAGCCAGTGAGTAAGGGCAGGCTCTCAGCACTGCAGGCAGCTCTCGCTCTTAGGGGGACACCTCCAGCCCCAGTCCTTGCCCGCTGGGTTTCCAAAGCCACTGCCATCAGTCTCATCTTTAGCTTGAAGTATCGCTTTGGGAGACAGACCAAAGCCTTCATCCAGCCATTTCTGCTAATACACGTGTACGTTTGGATACAGGCATCGTCTCGCTCATCTCCCTGGCCGTACTTTCTTATGAACGTTACTGCACCATGACGGGAACAACAAAGGCCGATACCACAAACTACAGGAAAACATGGACAGGCATCGTCCTCTCCTGGACTTACTCCTTGGCCTGGACGGCACCCCCCCTTTTCGGCTGGAGCAGTTATGGGCCAGAAGGACCAGGGACAACATGCTCCGTGAACTGGCATTCAAAGGACGCAAACAACGCGTCCTACATCGTATGTCTTTTCGTCTTTTGCCTTGTAATCCCTTTTGTCATTATTGTTTATTCGTACGGGAGGCTGCTGTGCGCTGTAAGGCAGGTAAGTAGATTCTTCAAGTGCCTTTTTACTGTGACCCCAAACTAAGCAGAAACCAGTGACCCCCATTTCTACCTTTATAACTTCTCTGCTGTCAGATGTGCTGTCACCCTTGGAAACTAGCTCTCCTGTGTCCCTGTCCACCAGGGCCTTCAAAGTCACACTCAGGTGTAAGCAGCTGGAAGTCCCTATGACAGCTTAACAGATGAGAGAAGTTTGCCAGACCGCTCGAGATACTCCCAATCACCCCTAATTAAAACTAGGAGGGACTCACCTACCTTGATGAGATTGGTCTTAGAACTTAAATCTGCAGCAAGCTGATGGAGAGGTGAGCATCACCTGCAGGTTCAGTGGGCACAGGAGCTGGGATTTCAGAAGATCAGTGCTTCTTCTCTGAAAGCGTAAGAGTGAACCCTGCAAAAAAGGCTGCTAAAAAGAAAGGTCATACATAATCCAGGTGGTGGCAGGATCCAGGGAAAGCAAGAAGCTGGAGTTTAGCAAATACAAACTGTAGGGCAGTCCTGAGGCATGAAGCTTACCCCCTGCACACAAAACAAAGCCAGTCCATCTATTCCCGTGATAAGAGATACTTGCTTTTAATAGTGCTAACCCACCCAATGCAGTGTTTGCTACAGAACACTGTCAGGCAGCGGAAATGCTGATGCACAGGTACAGCATCTGCCTTGAGCCACGAGTGCTAGGTGATGGACACGCTCATGGCACGGTGACGCTGGGAGAGGACCCGTGAGTGTGGCAGCCCCTCTGTCAGGGACCAGCCTGTGGCCAGGTCAGGGCTGGGCAGGCAAGGACCAGGCAGCTTGGGCCAGGCCACCTGCTCTCCCCTGGCACAAAGTGAGCAGTCACCACCCTACACAGCCCCACGCTTGAGCTCCATCAGTGCTATGAGATCTGGCTTTGTCTCAACTCATGCAGTAAGTGCCTGAAGGATAAGAGGGAATTAGATAAAATCACTCTGTGAGCCACATTTGCAGATGTAAACGTTTAACTTAAGCTTATTATTGGTCTGGAAATTTGGGCAGAATTAAATAAAATCAGTGGAGATGTTTAAGTTAATCCTTCTCAGCCTTTCCTAGCCTGTTATCTCATTGCAAGTACCTTTTGTTCCCCCAATGGTGAGCTCAGTCCTCTTCGGTCACCCTTTGCTGTGAACAGTGGCTGTTCCTGCACCACCATGGACCTGTCCCGAGTGCAGGAGAGGGGCTGGCTCTCACAGGACTCTGTTTTTTCCATCTTTTCAAGCTATAAAAACTGGGTTAGGGGTGCTGTTTGTCACAAGCCAGTCACAGCAGCCAAGGCTGGAGCAGGTAGTCCCTTGCAGGAGAGGCTCTTCCTCTGCAAAGCTCCTCCATGGGCAAAATACATCAAGAAAACTTGGACAGGGAGCTGTTCCTCGTGGGAAGGTTGTGCTGTCCAATACGTTGGCAGACAGAGTCTTTATTTCTGCTGGGGCTGCACCTAGGTGGGAGCACCAAAGGGTGTAAGTTTTCATATTAAATACTCTTCCCATTAATGCACCCATCACATACCAAGTGAGTTTTAGGCCCCAGAGAGCTGTCTGACTTCAGGACAGCTATGGACACTCTTATCAGGGTGAGCATCAGTATGTCACCAGTTCAGACAGCAGCAGGACTCAGCAGGTTTAGCAGAGCCCTCTGCCAACCCAGTGAGTGATGGGACCCCTTCAGTGATATGAACTGATCCTCCAGTGACTGCAGTGGCATGGAAAGGGGACAGGGTGATGGCAAGGGACTATTGCACCCTTCATTGGGGATGACAAGTGTGAAGGTCAGGAGTTGCCTTTCCTGGGCTGTCTGGTCCTGCAAGGACCCCAAAACATAGGAAACATCCTGGAAAATAACATGAAAATTATTCTCAGAAGGGGAAGAGCCATTTTTCTCTAGTTTGTGCAAAGTCTGTGCACACAACGTGTTGTATTTGTTGTGTGACCCCGTGGGATGGGGCTCCTGAAGCCCCAGTGTGCAGGAGAAGAGCCAGTTTTGAAGCTCAGCCTCTACTATATCATAGAATCATAGAGTGATTTGGGTTGGAGGGGACCTATAAATGTCATCTAGTCCAACCTCCCTGCAGTGAGACATCTTCAACTAGATCAGGTTGCTCTGAGCCCCATCCAAGCTGACTTGAATGTTTCCAGGGATGGGGCTTCTACCACCTCTGACCAACCTGTGCCAGTGTTTCCCCACCCTCACTGTAAAGAATTTCTTCCTCATATCTAGTCTAAATCTACCCTCTTTTAGTTTAAAAACATTACCCCTTGTCCTGTCACTACATGCCCTGCTAAAAAGTTTGTCCCCCTACTAAAAAGTTTGTCCCTCAGTTTAGTCATCACACCCAATTTGCCAGACACACACCTCCATCTGGATCCAGGTTATCCTTCCACAAAGTGGGGATTTCCACAAAGAGGGAAAGCCAAAACCGGATGGTGCTGCCGGACACGCCTGGGCACAGCCACGCACGGAGGGCTGGGTGCTGCAGAGCTCGTTCGGGAAGCTGGGGGCTCAGGCAGCAATGCCCACTGCCAACACCGTCTTCTCCCAGCTGGTTACACTGCCGCTCAAATTTCCCTACGGCAGCAAGGTGCAGAAGCAGCAAAATCCCTGGTGTGTGTAAGAGGAAGGAAAAAAAGACTGAATAAAATGTGTTAAATATTTATAAGGCATATATTTATAAATATTTAAGGCATTGAACAACAGACATTTGTGCTTTCAGAAGATCCCAAATTATAGGCAATACTCTGTAAACCTTTAATCATGCTTCCAGCTCCAGCCATGAATACCTTCCTGTAGCTGAGGTTATCTGCAGCACTTACAGGAGTAAAGTTATAGAGGGTGTTTGGTTTCAGCCAGGCATGAAAAATTACATCCTTTCGCTTGACATTTTTATTTTCATGCCCTGGTTTCTGACATGATTGTCATGGCAGGAGACATGCAGGGATGCTTATAATCTTAGAGATCAGTCCAGGCTCTCTTATGCTGTGCTGCTTGCAAGCAGCTGACAGATCCTACTGTCTTGCTTCAAGCTCACAGTTTCCTTAAACCTGAAGAAAATAATCATCACTAAGAGAGGACCCATTTTTGCCCTCAAGTCTCATTTCAGGCTGGCAGGCAATGGCCAGATGGATGGGCTCGCTCTGAGCCATTTCAAATGAATGCCAAAGGAGCTTGAACATATTACAGTGCGCTGTTGACAATAAATCTGAATACTGAAAACAACCATTAGAAAATGAGGAGTAGTCAGATTTCCAGACACATTGAGCTTTCCTCTTAGTTAGCTCCTTTGCGAGAAGTCTTTCTGTTTTCATAAGGATTTCATACCTCCCCTGTGAAGCACTGTGCAGGACCCAGGACAAAGCAAAGGCAGCTGCTTTACCAGGGAGAGGCTGTTGTGCTGCAAAAGCACGATGAAGTTGTGCAGCAGCAGACAGCTGGGTGCGAGAGTTTACCTCTCCCTCCTGAGGTTCCTGCATGGAGGGCTTCACAGCAGTGGTATGGTGGGACGGTGAGAGCCAGCTTGGCCTCTCTTGGCCAGTCCCATTCCCATAACTAAGCTGCTAGTGGAAAACTGCTGACTGGGTTTTGCTGCAAAGAGCAAGGATGCTTTAGAATCACCTTAGTTTTGTGAGCAGAATCTTGAGAGCCTATTATTTCCCCTATAGCTGAGTACATAGCTTCAGATGAGTACACAGGATCTCATCCATGATACATGCCACAGCAGGGAAGCTGTAATCCCTCAGCTCAGATCAAATTATTTCACAAAGATGATGGAAATGAAACAGAGCTTGGGAGACAGCTGGCAACCACCCCCAAGCAGGCTGTGAGAAGCTGAAAAGCCAATTCAACAACCGCTTCTTATTTTGCATAGCCCGGTGCCCTGGGAGGTCCTGGGAGCCTGAGCAGGGTTAGAGGACATGGGGCCAACCCATTTCAGTGCTCAGGGTGAAGCACGCAGGTGGTTGCTCGCAGCTGGGGAAACCCTCTGGAACATGAAGCTGGGCAACTCAGGAAAGCTGGATGCGTCCTCCACCCCATGCTGGTTTGAAAAGCTCAGTCCTGTCTATTATTTTACTGCTTTAACACCTTTGTAGCCAGCAGAAACAGTGTGCATGGACAAGTCTCTCAAATATAACTTCAGTGAGGCAAACAATTCACGGGCTACAAAACCCAAAAGTTTGGAATTCTTTCTAGTACAAATAATTCATAGGTTCAGTCTGAGCTCTTGGATGTCCTGGAGAAGCAAGATATCTTTATGGCCATTCCTGGATTTCACCAGCATGCCCAACCCAAGGCATGGGGCTTGAAGATGCCAAGTACATACCTTGCGTGGGTAAACTGTCTTTGTCAGATGTGGTCTGCATCCTAAGTCCCCTGCTGCAAATAACTGGCTCACTGAAAGCAACAAACAGGCAGCAATTCCCTTGTTGCATCCACAAAACTTGCAGGAGACAACCATTCCACTGCCAGGTTTCAGAATAGCTGTAGTCAGCATGTGAGACCTGAAAAAATATTTGTTGGAGACAGATAAATAATTTGTTGAGCACATGGGTTAAAAAGTCATTATTTAGAGTCTCTGACAAGCTTGGCAGAGTACTCCCACATGAACTGTCAGAATGCAAATATAATCAATTTCAGCTTTTATATCACTATATTACAGTGTGGAATTTTTTTTTCCTTAATTCACTGACAGGCTATGGTTCTCTCATCTCTTTGACAAATTAATCTGAAGTCCTGCCTCCAAATTATTGACTGTGGTTCATCCTTGGAAATTAGTACATGGGTTCAATACTCTGCTTTTCCACACAGACTCCTGCCCTGGGTTGAGTTACATCAGCATAAAACTACCATAAGCACAGTGATGCAAAGCTCCTGAGGTGTAAGGGAGGTTTAGCAGCACTTCCACCTCAGACTCTAAATCAGACTAGGTTCCAGACTTCCAGTTCCCCTTTTTCTCCCACCCCTCTGGAGAAT